GGATACGCAGTGTGTGTGAGGGTTTCTCCCCTCCTTCGACCTGCAGGCAGTCTTACCGGGTTTTGGAGGGCGTGGAGCCCATTGACCCCCGGTGGAAGCCGGCTGGGCCGGAGCGGTTGGTGATGTCGTGCCGCTTGAAGCGGTGGCTCGAATGTTTTGCGCGTGGAGACTGCCGCTCTCTGCTGCTGCGCAGACTTGTAAGGTGTATTGAACACTCTCAGGTTCACGGGTAATCGCCTATCCGGACGAGCTTCTGGGTTGAGAGAGTTGGAATTTCGACTGTATTGGGATAGTAAGGGGAGGGCGTCGGAGGGCGTCGGCGCGTCTCATTCTGTCCTGTTTTAATCAGAGTGGTCGCGAAGGCTTCGCATCTTTACGCCTTTCCATCACCTAGGTAAGGTAGGTAATTAGAAACAGGACGCTTTGTTGGATTGACCGTGTCTTTGTAGTTGGGTTGCTGCAACTCCGAAAGTCTTGGGGATATTCTACTTCACACTTACACCTAACTCCAGGCTACTTTGGGGGGTTTTACACTTGGGTAAACTTGAACGCGCAGCCAGGTAAGTATGATACGGGATGGATGGGTCTTGCGGGGAGCCGGGTGGGACCATCGCCCATCTCTGGGGAAATAGTCCCAATCACTTCACCACCAGCATCTTCAAGGAGAATTGGTGAAGCAGTTCCTCACTTGTAGAGAACTCACCTGCTTGATAGTGAGACCAGATGATGAGTTAGCGGGACTATTAAAGAAGCCAATCTCCAATGATGTCAATTGGTGCCCTTTTCTTCGTCGACAGTCTAGCCGTGTACTTATCCCTCGTCTCCCTGGGCCTGTCATACACTCACTTGCCAAACCCCCAACGAATATAGATCCAATGTAGCAAGCTACAGGCGGAATTAAGAAATATGAAAGAGATTGAACTCCGTGGGGTCCCCGGCCGATGGAAGAGACCAAGATCGGCTGGCGATGTCGGCGTGGTCGGCAATGACGGTCGGTCCCCTTACCCCGGGTCAACGGAATGCGGGGAAGGGTGCCTCCTCAACGGCAACCCCAGGTCGAGCCAGCCAGCGCACCAAGGTCAAAGGGGAGACAGAGCACGTCAGCTGCTGCTGCAGCAAGGGTAGAGCTGTCTCGTATTTCAACACCGTCCCAGCCTCCAAACTTCCAGCCGTCCGACTGTTTGAGAGAGCCGAAGCCGAGAGAACTGATATAATCCCAACGGGCAATGCTTCTATAGCTTTGATGCTCTTTCGGGCCTTTTTGATATTCTGTCGTAATCTCACCAGCGCTCATTGTCTCATTTCTTCATAGCCAAGCATATCGAACACACACTCGGCAACGTCACAGAGCAAGCTACCGTGAGGATGGACAACTTACACCCTCAAGATGAAGTCTTGCGTCATTCCCTCGAGGATCCTGAATCCTTTTGGGCTCACCAGGCAGAACACCTGCACTGGCACAAGAAGCCCTCTTCAACACTGAAAGTCACCAAGAAGACGCTTAAGAGCGGCGTCACCCATGATTCTTGGGAGTGGTTTCCGGATGGCGAGATCTCGACATGTTTCAACTGCGTAGACCGCCACGTTCACGATGGCAGGGGTGATGCGCCGGCGATATACTATGACAGTCCGGTCACGAATACCAAGCAGACAATCACATACAAGCAGCTACTCGACGAGGTTGAGGTCTTTGCCGGGGCGCTGAGAGAAGAGGGAGTGAAAAAGGGCGACGTCGTTTTGGTTTACAGTAAGCTTATTCTATATGTCGGATAGCAATTTCTTTTTTCGATCCAAAGCTTACACTACTATTAGTGCCCATGATACCCGCGGCATTGATAGGGATACTCGCCGTCAGTCGCCTAGGTGCAATCCACGCCGTTGTATTCGGCGGATTCGCACCGGCCGCTCTCGCACAGCGAATAGAAGCCTCCCAGCCCGTGGCCATTCTGACGGCGTCGTGTGGCATTGACGGCAACAAGCCGCCCATGAGCTATAAGCCGCTCGTGGAGGAGGCCTGCCGGATCTCCAAGCACAAGCCCAGCAAGGTGGTTGTATGGCAGCGCGAGCAGATCCGTTGGAACCCCATCAAGAGGAACGACGGCGAGAGGAACTGGCAGAGCATCGTAAAGAGCTGTCGCGCGAGGGGTGTCAGGGCTGGTTGTGTGCCTGTGAAGTCAACAGATCCAATCTACATCATTCACACATCTGGTACGACGGGAACGCCGAAAGGCGTATTGAGGGATGCTGCTGGACACGCTGTTGGATTGCATCTCTCTATCAGCTACTTGTTCAACATTCACGGCCCCGGATGCGTTTCATTCACAGCGTCGGATATTGGATGGGTATGTTTTTGTCAAGCTCTCACGGGTCGGGTCAGATTCTAATGTTAGGTGGTATAGGTCGTAGGGCACAGCTACATCGCATATGCCCCCCTTTTCACGGGTGCCGCCACCGTCCTCTACGAGGGCAAGCCCGTCGGCACACCAGACGCCTCGGCCTTCTGGCGCATCGTGGAAGAATACAAGGTCAACACCATGTTCACGGCACCGACGGCTTTACGCGCCATCAAGCGCGACGACCCTGAGAACAAGCTCTTCAAGCAGATTGGAGAGCGCGGCGGCCTGCGGACGCTCAAGGGATTATTCTTGGCAGGCGAGCGGTCAGAACCGGCAATCATCACAATGTACCAGGACCTCCTTGAAACCTATGGCGCAGTCGACGCCCACGTTGTGGACAACTGGTGGTCGACGGAAGCCGGGTCGCCCATAACGGGGCGGGCTCTCGTGCCCCATGCCGGGAAAGACCGCGGTACGGATGTACGTGGCCATCCGCCTCCCAAGATCAAGCCGGGCAGCGCCGGCAAAGCCATGCCTGGCTTCGACGTCCGCATTGTGGATGATGACGGTCGGGAGCTTCCCAGGGGCACGATGGGAAACATCGTCCTCGGGTTGCCGCTGGCCCCGACTGCTTTCAGAACCCTGTGGCAAGATGAAGAGCGATTTTACAAAGGCTATCTCAAGCGCTTCAACGGCAAGTGGTTGGATACTGGAGACGCGGGCTACATCGACGTGGAGGGCTACGTCAACGTCATGTCCCGCAATGACGACGTACTCAACGTCAGCGCCCATCGTTTGTCAAGTGGTAAGCACCATCATCTCGTCCTTGGAGAAAGCCCACAAATTTTAACAACAAGAAAAAAAACAGGCGGCCTTGAACAAGCCATCACATCCCACCCCCTCGTCGCAGAGGCCTGCGTGGTGGGCATCCCGGACGCGCTCAAGGGCCAGCTCCCCTTCGCCTTCATCACGCTCTCGACGCCCGAGCACCCGCCCTTGGCGGTACCCGACGCGAAGCTCGCCGACGAGATCAACGCGCTCGTGCGGTCGCAGGTCGGCGCCATCGCCACGCTGGGCGGGCTCATCCAGGGCAAGGGGATGATCCCCAAGACGCGCAGCGGCAAGACGCTGCGGCGCGTGCTGAGGGAGCTTTTGGAGAACGCAGTGCACGAGGAGTTCGAGAAGGAGGTACAGGTGCCGAGTACGGTCGAGGACGCGGGCGCGGTGGATGTTGCGAGAGAGAAAGTACGGGAGTATTGGGAGGTGAGGGGGGATGGACATAAGAGTACGGAGGCTAGAGCGAAGTTATAGATATTACAATTTGCTACGTATGATGGACAAGCCTCTGCTAAGCGTATCATCGCCCTTCCATAAATATCCTTTGGTGCCAGAGATCACACATCAGACATTCCATTAGTGAGTATAAGGCATTACATTCACAAACGTTGCGACTGGTATCATGAGCTACAGTAACGAGCATAACAAGGTGAGAAGCAGATTTCCCAAGATCATTTTAGAACATTGAGGAATGAGATTAGAACCGCCTATTGATCCAACGTCAAAGGATACAATATGTACTATAGCTGGTGTGTGTGAGTAAGGATGTCGAAATATCATGCTGGACCTGTTTCTAGCACGAATGAAACCCGTCAACGAACCTCGAACGCCTCTATTTACGGACAATGGAGACAGCGTTGTTTATGAGTTCTATCAAAAACCGGCCGTTTCATTAGGTAAAGACATGATGTGGAAATACTTTGCTGATCAAGGAGAAACTCGGTTCGTCCGATCCTAATATGTCGAGAGATACGCTTTTCATTACATATTTCAACATCTCCAAACTGTTTCTAGGACCGCGATAATTTGTTTTCAGTTTGACAATATGTGCAGGACACTGAGACAAGGGGTCACAAGGGACTGCTATGAAAGACTGCAGTACGCTACTGCCTAATACTTTGAAGCTTCCTTCGTTTCCTCGTCATAGTCGAAGTCCGCTGTAAAGGTAATTCTCGTAATCAGCCATACATTGAGCTCGACGGGGTCAAGGGAATCATCTCGCTCTCCTTGGTAGCTTCTGGATAACGATGCCGGGGCATTTGATCCCGATCATCGTACACTGAAGTCTCATGGTCGGAACTCGCCCACTTGAGCTAAGGACTCTGAGCCAAGAAAGCCTAGGTCGACCACAATCTCTCCCCTGGAGCAATTGCCACCGACGACGACCATTGTCCTACATGAAGTCGTCGCTGCAAAGCGACACGCGCCCGCAGGATGGATGGTATGACGAAAGTCGAGAGCCCGCCGTCCCGTATTCGCGATCTCCTCGGTCGCACCCTTCCGCCATAGGCCTCGTCATGGTCAGCTTGTGCGACGAAAAAGAGGGTAAGGTCCCTCGGCCAGACTGGTTACCATTGAAAAAGTATACGCTCCCCATGGCGGGAAGACGAAGCTCGAAGGGAAACATCATACCCGTACCGAGTCACGGCCGTCGTACCATGTTTGCTCACGGGCCGTCGGACGTGTAACCATGTTCGAAGCTGAGCGGCTGTTTCTCATCTCTGTCCGGGGATACGTTCTGCGGGAAATGCGATATGGATTCTCGTGGAATTAGAGACACGGGGCATCTTCTACGGAAGGTCGACTGGGGGGACGGATCTGTACGAGCGAAACGGTAGTGGTAGTAATGAAGTTCCAAATGTTGTAGTCAACAAGAGTAGTTCCTAACCAACGCCTCATATGCCGAACCACAGCATGCCACCCAATGTATTCCTGGTATCGTTGTGCCTCCAGTGACCCATCAATGCAATATTTGGAAACCGTCCACGTTCGCTGACGTCGTCAATACTTCAAGAACCAACTACATTAACTTGCTGATCTAGCGGGGGACTCCCTGGAGGCCTGCTCCCCATATATTCCATAGACACTTCGCTGGCTTTCTCTCGCAACTTTCAGGGGAGCGAAGCGTGCTTCGGGTAATCGACTTCCCGCCTTGAGGCTCTCCATTACCCTGCAGAGGAATTAGCATCCACCGATTCAGACGAGTGGACGGGACAGGTAGACCAAGGAAGAACCAACCATTCGACGCCAACATATTTGACGGCAGACCCGCCAATCCTGCGAATCTCCTTTTCAAGTTTGCCGCCCGCAAGTCCTCCGCCAGCTCCAGCGCCTACGCCTGCCGGTCTCCCGACAATGACATGCGTAACCTGCCTCCGTCCGAGATGTATAGACATGCGCGCACCGTTCTCGACCAAGACGCGCTTGAGTCGGTGATCCGAGATGATGGGATGCGTGCTCCCGTTGACGTATACCGTGACGCCCTCGAACAACCCCCTACCAACCGCCCTCGTCGCCTCGGCATCTTCGTCCTCCTTCCGCCGAGCTTTCATTACCTCCTCTTCACTCCTCCCCATCAACCCACCCGGCGCTGCAACAGACGTGCTGGATGTCGCGGAGCCAGTCTCAGAGACAGACGAGCCGCTCCTCATCAGCCCTGGCCGCGCCAACATGTCCGCCACGCTCGTCTTCGCCCTCGCCTTGACGTCCTTGGGCACCACCATCTTCAGCTTCTCGTCAAAGTCCTCGCTCCCGGCGCCGTAGGTGTCACTCATGCGGGCACCACCAGAGTGACCGCCCGCAAACTGCTCCGAAAGCTTGCGGGCGCGGCTGTTTCGCCATCCTGTCCCCGGTACATGATCCGGTCGTTGATGTCCTGTGGCGCTGGAGTTGTACGGATCGAAGTTGTTGCCAAACCGCGGCTTTGCGGCTGGTGGGATGGGTGTCTTCTCCGGCGAAGGCATCTCGGTTCAGGGTTCAGGCACACGTGATTGTTTCGGTGCAATAATGTTTCTTTTTCGTTCCCTTTTTCGCCCTTTTGCTTTGCTCGCATGCTAGTTGAAAACGGCGCTGCAATGCAAGGCACATGCGCGTTGAGCATGCAATGTCGTTTAGGTCCACACGACAGGAACGTAGAATCATAATGCTGGATTTCGCCTCTAGTGTCCCCATAAGCAAACAAAGGGGTTATTTCTGTCGTCAACGATACGCGAATCACGCGGCGCCGCAGGCTAGAGAGTCCTAAGCGCATTTACATCCAAGGTCGATCCAGGCACGTATCGGTCGCGGGGTCACATGACCTTGTCTCACCGAGAGCCACCGATACCCACCAAGGTCACCTTGGGGTTTTTTCGTGTTAGTCATCTCTCACTTACACCTAAACTCAAATCACATCTCATCGAAGCTACATGACGGAAAGGTGTAGAGACAGAGACATGCAGTCAAAGCTTCCCGAGTAAGGCGAAGCTAACTTGAGTGCCGTTCCTGGACCGATATGCCAATGCTAATTGCTGCTCCGCCTGCCATGATGGCAAATGCAGGAGCTGCAGCAGCGTCGGCGCACCGATGTTTCCCCAACTTGAATCCCGTCATTCCTCAAATCCCAGAAAGAATGCATGTGCACGTCAGAGTCCCCTTGGAACCTTCTTGTTGCAAGAACGACCGAACGCTTCGAACCTCAGGGGACCTTTCACCTCACCTTCAACCTCTCAACCTCCTGCAGGTACCTACATCAGGCCTAAACACCGGATCAGACACACATAGGCACACCCTCTTTGCTCTTCACCCTCCCCCAAAACAAGCGACATGTTTCCTTCGCCCACGAGGTTACCCACGAGCCTACGGAGCTGAAATCGGGACGGTCTGAGTGGGAAGGAGGCTGTGAAGAAGGTCATACCTTGCACGATGTTGGAATGATGGGCTGCAGAGGCCCAATCACTCCTCGGCGCCTCTGTCTGACGGCTTTCGGAACGCTCAGTCAGGGGACCATATTGAGGTCTGGGCTCGGCAGATGCGAGTGCGAAAATCAGTTCTGGACCTTTTTTGTCCTTGTATACAACTACGAATATGCTGTCGACGTGATCTCTTCGTCGACGAAGTCTCTGACCCGGATGCCGCTCACTTCACACCCCCCTTCAATATCTGGCTCAACAGAAGGCTATTCCTATCTTATTGTGGAAATTATATTGAAGATTCCTCACACGTATCGGGTACATACGCCCAAAGAAGACGACATCAGACTTCGACCCTTTGGATCGCCAAACCATATCACCGGGGGCCCTTGGTGCGGCGAAAATTAAAGCCATCCAATCGGCCTAGGACATTGATCGCAGTGGCAGCGCATCCCCCACAGACGCCAGTCATGCACATCACGACCAGTCATCGGCCGAAGGTTGCACCTTAAACGGGAGAAAAAGCTTGCACAGCCGATGTTGGCTGCTTCATATTTGCGCCGTAGCTTTCCCCATACTCCCACATCCGGCGGAGGAGCCAGAGAGGTGACAAGACACGAGAAGGCGAGAGAAAAAAAAAAGCTTGGTATCCAAGCTCCCTCGAAGAAAGGTGCACCTAGCTTCGGGTCTCGAATTGACTTGCATCGCCAAACCTGCCGCGCGGCGGGAGGCGGGAAACACCAAACGAAAGGGCCGTCTCATGCGCCCCGGACCTGGCATGGCACATTCTCCAGCTTCGGGGACTCCCATGTCTGCCATCTATGCCTCTACCATGAGGCCACTGCACGCACATGCGCCTGCATTTGCCAATCGACACCAAGAGAATGCAGCTCCCAGGCCCGCTAACCTTCTCTTTCCTCATGCTCTCCCAACGTTGTCCAGGTCAGCCCTTGGAAAGGCGAAGAAAAGAGAAGCCAGGCGGTGCTCCATTACATGTATAACACACCCATCTTATCATGCCGTACCAGCAGTTCATGCACGATGCCCGCTGCGCACAGCACTGCGGATACCACTACCTTACCTCGCAACCTACTTTCCGAGCCTCCTCTCCTCCCACCGCCGTGTTTGGCGGCTAGCCTTGGGCGAGCGGGACAGGGCTGGAGCGAGATGAGGGAGCATCGATGCGATGCGCCGGGCCCTGCCATCGCGGCAAGGCCTAGCCTGCCGTCTCTCCTGCATCAAACCACCAACATGCCATTTAGTGAAAACTCTGAGAAATGACAAGACGACGACGACAAGTCGCAAATGTCCCCCGGAAAAGAAAGCTGGAGTCGCAAAGGCGGATGCCGAGGCTTGCATATTCTACGCACGCTATACACGCTGCATTCTTCAACGCTTCGCTGCGCGATGATGCACCGCTCTCTTTCTAATACGTAATCATACCTCGGGCAACCGATTACTTCAACGGTCGACCTCGTCATGTCGGAATAAAGGCAAGACAAGACAAGTCACGACACGACGAGACGAGACAGCCTGGTCATACCGGCCATTGCAGGGAGGCCACTGGTGCCGGGGTACCCACGAGGAAGCAAGACAGTCTGCGTAGCGAGGTAATCAAAAAAGTCAATCTCGCACCGCCGAGCCCCAAGCTCCCCTTTCCCGCCCGTCTCTCATGTGATATCAATCAGGGACGTCAGGGACGAGCACAGGGGTCGTGGAGGAGGGGGCGAACCGTTTCAAGCGTTCAAGTTCTATCCCGACTTGACGATTCATCCGGTGTCCAAGGTCCAACATGACAGCGCCAGTCACAAGTGGACGGCATGGAGACACGGAGTCTGGCGAGAAAGAGGCACAGAGGATATCAGCTCGAGCGCGCAAAAAAGGTCAAAGGTCCACGTCACGCTCGCTTGACCCCGTCCCTGACAGTTACATGATCTGCCCAGCATGCGCCTGCTTGCTGCGGCCTAGGTGCGCAAGAGCCATTTCACGACACCTGCTCTGTTTCCTGACGGGGCATCCTCCGTGAGCGAGGACGAGGTCCCCAATACTCCGTACGGATACAGGCTCCGTAGTCCGTACTCTAGGCACCAGGAAGAGCGAGCGAGAGTTTCCAGGGCTCCTCTGTGATCCGTGATCTCGCCGCCGCCACCCCATGTTTGAGCAGCATGCATACCCGTACGCGCATGCAGGCAATCGTACCCTTTCGCTTTCCGGGGGTGGGAGGGGGGAGGGTGAGGGTGAGGGAGGAGAGCCTGCTGCGGTGTTTTGCCTGCTCTGCCTTGCCTCGCCTTGCTTGCCCTGCAAACCAAGACCTTCGGAAGACCTACCTACCTTCCTGGCCTGGCCAAGTCGAGACTGGTCTGTTTACATCTTCCTGGCAATTCCTATCCGCCTTCGCTTCGCCTCGCGCGGCCGACCCGGGTCGCGACAAGCGGACGCGAGCGAGCGGGGGAAAGGATTGTCTCTCCTCTCTCTTCCCGAATCTCGACGAGAAAGTGGGTATCCTCGAGCACGAAAAAAAAAAAAGATGCCGGCTAGAACCGATCCCGACATCGCCAATAATTGGTTTTGGTGCTGTCATTGTTATTGTATGATTCTGCCACCTTCCTGGCTCACACCGGTCGTGTCCCAGACAGAAAGGTTGTGTGTCTCGTCTCGGGAGCTAAATCAAGATAGAGAGAGGTTGAGTGGTAGGGAAGAGTGAAGGACGGCGCGCGCCAGAACATTATACCTCACACCCTCCCGTCCCGGCAAAGAGACAGACAGACAGACAGACACACACACACACACACAGAGGCACAAAAAAGACGCACTGATGGCGGAGAGGTGAGGTACCAGAGTGGATGGATGGCTGGGAAGAGGCTTGCTCGGTCTTAGACTGGCGCCCGTCTACCGCTTCTCTGCGGATACCTACGTACTCGGTACCAGGGACACTCCTCTCCCACTCACAAAAAGACGTGCGCGGCACTACACAACAAGGGAAGGAGGGCGGCTGTCAGAAGTCTAACTACGCCGAGGTTATCATTGTGTTTTTAGTCTAGTTTTTTTGCTTGAGCGGCGAGCCGATCGAATGACCCAAAACGGTAGAGTATAGCCGTTCCATGTGGTCCCCGATGGGCAGAAAAATCTCTGTTGGAACAAAGTCAATCTTTGTGGACAAGGAAACTAGAGGCGGGCAAAGGGCAGGGAAAGAGAGAGAGAGGGGGGGGGGGGAGAGGGCGGCACGGAGCAAAGGGAGGGAAGAACAAGAAGTTCGAGAAACAAAGCCGAAAAGTTATGCAACAAGGGGATTGTTCCCCCAACAATGGACGGGACGACGTTGAAGACAACACAAGAGGGAGACTTGGACATGTGGACGTGTGGAAGAAAGGCAGAAAAAAATAGAGACATCTCGCAACGTCGTCTCTGTCTATCTTTCTCACGGTCTGTCACTGTATCCATACGTGGTATTCCAAGGCAAGGGCCGTTGCATTGCCTTGCCTTACAGATAGATACATGCTGGGTGCTGCTGCTGCTGCTGCTGCTGCTGGATTGCCACCAACGGAGCCAACAGCAGGCGACGGCAACACATTATGCGAAGCATACTTGCATCCAGAGGGCAGATGGCTGGAACCACCACCACCACCACCACCACAGTCTTGCCAGTACCTATTCGTATGCCACATATGAAACTTTGCTGCCGCAGTTGTGATCAGTCTAAATCCGGGGGGCGCGTTTACGTTGCCCTTATTCCTTTCTTTTCCTGGACTGCGCTTCCCATGTTCTCCCCCCCGGCCACCTGCTTGCTCAACGACTCTGAGACCTTTTCCCTGGCAGGAGCCTGGAGGAGTCGATGAGTGTCGAAATACGGTTGCATCGTTCGTATCGCAAGGACCAAGGTAGCGGTGGTGGTGGCAAAAGGGCTTCATCAGGCTCTTCCTCCAAACTTTTGGACAATCTGTACCATTTTTATTTTTCTTACAGCCTCTTCAGAAGTTCAGCTCTTGTCTAGAAACTAGACTATCCGTAGACTAGCTCCCAGAGCCCCCAAGACGGGAGAACTCCAGACCTTTTTCCTAGTTTACATACTCTCTCCGCTTCGACGAGGATTGAAGACGCGCTATTCTGTCATACTGCGGCATCTCCCTGCACGTACGTTAATCTCTTGTGATTTTTGTTTCTTTGCTTCTTGTTCCCGTTTTCCACTCTTCACCCCCTCCCTTCCCCCCCACCCGCTATGCAGTGCAGAGTAGTGTATACTTCCTCTTGTCAGCCAGCAAAACTACGGGATACCTAGCGCTTGTAAATCTGACATGTTACCACCCGAGACGCGGCGGCGGCGACGGCGCATCTTTGCCCACGGACGCTGGCGCTGCTGCTCCCACGCACGCGCGCAAGGGGGGGGGGGTCGCGGGTTCCATTCACATCCACTCCTCCCCAGTCCCCAGCCCTCTCTTCTAGCCGCACATGGTATGACACCAAGGTGCTAGGTAAGCCAGGCAGACAAGGCAGGCAAACGGGCAAGATTTCCCAGATGTTGGGGGCAGGAAATTTGAGCGAGGGCGTAAGAAGAAAGGGAGGGGGAGCAGAAATAAAGTGGGAATGGGGTTGCGAATGTAACGCGGGCTTGACAGGCGAGGTCTTCCGCCCATCGCCGCCCGCTCCCTTCTCCTCCTCCTCGTCACTTTTTGTGTGTATCCGTATGTACAGAGTATCTTAGCGGCCGAAGGAGAGAAAAACCTCACGCCAACCTATTGGGGGAACAAGCAATGACAAGGTTGAAGGAACTTCAAGGAAAGGATGCGCGCACCTGGCGGCCAGTTTTGGCGACCGCACAGAGCCCGGACTTTTATCGCTGTCAATCCACCCGCGACGAGAAGCAATCGGCTGCTGCTGCGGCGGCGCCGGCCGCTTGCTTGATCGAGTGGGTTTGGGCTTGACCGGGAGGAGAGATCGGAAGGAGATGCGAAGAAGTGTGTGTAATACAGAGTAGTATAGACGGGTATGTGTATCTGTATCTGTATGCGTGTCCCGGGGGTCGCGGGTCGCGGGTGAGAGGGAGGTATTCCCGACAGCATCCAAGATGGACCGCCATCCTTCATCTAGACACCTACAGTGTAGATCTGGATGTGTGTGCAGATGCAGATGCTGGCTCCGGCCTGTTTCGAATGTGCTGGTGGAATGATGCAAATGTGGTCTTTACCTCTTCAACTAATAGGTTTGTGCGACCGTTGCACACATATCCTGATGCACACTGTTTTCTCCGTACAGGAGTCGTTGTTGGAAATGCCTCCTGCCCCTCAGTTCCCCGGTGCGCCGAGATGTGAAGACGCGAGGACAAACGATGGGTGCCAAGCAAACAAGCAAACTGTATCATGAACGCGCCCAGCTCAGCTCTTTGCACAACGCAGCAGCGCAGGCCAAGCTAG